GGAGGAGGAGGTGTTAAAAGGAGAGGAAGGGTCTGCCCAGGAGGGAAAAGGCTGAAGCTCATAAGCAAAGATCCCTGGGGGTTGTTGTTGTGTGCCTTCAAGTCATTTCTGACTTATCGCAACTCTGAGACAAACCCTATCATGGGGTTTCATGGGGTTTGTTTGTTTTTTGGCGAGATTTTGTCAGAGGGGGTTTGCCATTGCCATCCACTGAGGCTGAGAGAGTGTGACTGTCACTTGTCCAAGGTCACCTAGTGGGTTTTATGGCCAAAGAGGGCGTCCAACCCTGGTCTCCAGAGTTGCAGTCCAACGTTCAGACCACTGCACCATGCTGGCTCTCATAAGTTCCTGTATCTTGGATTAGGAATGGGAAGGACAGCTATGAAAGGACTAGACAAGATCCTAAAGAGCAAAGATACATAAATGAGCAACAAATGCTAGGAAAAGTAGAAGGTAGTAGAAAGAGAGGAAGACCACAAACCAGATGGATAGACTCAGAGAGATAGATATATTGACAAGATACAAACAATCTGTATCTTGTGTATTCTTGCATGGCTGGGAATTGGACTGGATCTTGTGGTATGTGTCTTCTAACTCTGTCATTTTATGATTCTATAATAGGTAAGAGATAGATGAGTCCAAAATAAAAGAGGAGGAGTGGCACAAGAAGGAAAGTTTGAAATGTGTAACATAGGGGTATATAATTTTCTTGGAATTGAGGGTCTTTTTTGTCCTGGTTGGGGGCTGCACCTATGTAAGTACCCAGGTATAGGGGAAGGGGTTAAGATCTGAGTAATTCTGTTTGAAGCCAAGGGTGGGAAGGCTCTTTCATAGTCACTTGGGGTCAAACTAAAGGACATACTCAGCACAGTTTTAGAAGAGATGCTCCCTCAAGTGGTGAAATACATCTCTTTGTCATAGCACAAGATTTTCCTTACCTGCCTATCTTGCATTTAGTGCTCTTTGTTTTGCAGTGGGTCATTGGAAAGAAGAAAAAAAGGATTTGATTTGCAAATCTGATAGCTGAAGCACACATCTCTTCTGGAAATCCTGTTATGGAAGAGAAATCTTAGGCAGTGATCCTAACATTTTGTTAAACCAGAGGTGGACAAAGTGCATTATTATTATTATTACTGTATTATTATTATTTATACCCCGCCTTTTGCCATAGCAATCAAGGTGGCTTACAGGTAAAACCAGATACAAATTATCCCAACAATAATAACAAACATTATAAACAAATACACTGACCCCACTTTAAAAATACATTAAATTCAAATATAAGTTAAAACTTAGAATTAAAAATTAAACAAAGTTAAAACACTAGGCACTCTGGGGCAGGATAAAGATATAAGGTCTGAGGGAATATATGACGGGGGGGACCAAGTTAAATGAGTGGCTTATTCCGGGTAAGCCTGCCAGAAGAGATCTGTCTTGACAGCATTTTTAAAGCCATCTAAACTGGTTATCTGACGGATCTCTTCCGGCAAGGCGTTCCCCAGTCTGGGAGCTGTGGCAGAGAATGTCCTCTGGGAGGTCCCCTCCAACCTATTGCTGCTTGCTGGGAGAATACAAGGTGGAAAAATGCCCCTGTGCAAGTGCCTACCCTGAGCTGGATCCTAAGAAAGTGAGCTAAAATTCCCCTGCATCAGGAGTCTGGATGCTTTGGGGATCACGGAGGGAGCTAAAGTGATGCTAAAGACTGCAGGCACTTATGTCTTGTGCCACAGGTCTACGAGCTGAAGAAAAGTAGCCACCTTTTCTATCCCTCTGAACTACTCTATGAA